GAGAACTGCGAACCCAGCGGCGTCGAGCTGCTTCCAGGAGACCGACTTCGGGATTTGGAGTATGCAGACGACTTCGCCGTAATCTGCGATTCCTCACAGGCCGCTCAAGATGTCCAGTGTAGGTTGGAGGTGTCTGTTTCCCAGTTTGGAATGAGCTTCGCACTCGAGAAGTGCAAGGCTTTCTTGCAAGACTGGCTAGGCGCTGCTAATATACTTACCCTTTGGGGTCAATTTTTTGGAAATGGTGGACAAATTCGTGTACTACGGAAGCTGCCTCAGCGCTAATGGTTTAAAGGGACGACATCTCTTTGCGGGTTACTTTTGTCAATTTTCGCCATCTCTGGAGTCGAAGTGATTTGAGACTATGTCTGACGGACCGAGTTCACGTAGCCACAGTGAGAGCGGTTCCGCTCTATGGCTGCGAGACGGCCTGTTCGCGCAAAGGATGTTGAGAGTCTGTCTGTTTTTGATCACCGCTGCCTTCAGAGGATTGCTGGTGTACGATGGCAGCATCACACTAATAATGATGTTCGACAGAAGATTTTCTGATCAGACGGACTTTGCCGGCCACTGAATAGCATAATTTAGTTGCACAGACTTCAGTGACTTAAATATGTTCTTTGCAAGCCTACTCATCGCTTACCTCGCCGTATCCTCTTCGAACGCACAGAAGTCGGCTAGAAGGTCGGCCGCTGGCCGTGTGGTCTGCACGTTTGCTTTGCAACCATAAGGTCACCGGTTCGAATCCGCGTAGGGGTGGGCGTCCTCGCGGTATACTCAGCCCGCGCGCGACTGATGGTGGTTGCGCGGCAGCGAAGTGCCGTTACGGCGTACAACTGACACATTATTATTAGTAGTAGTAGTATAGTCGGCTAGAAGTGAAAGCAAGGTGGTCAAGGTATGACTTTGGCCAGGAGCATGAAAGAGCTAATGTCAAAGTTAGCTGTGGTAAGACGCCATCGGCTCCCTGGCTGGAGTGGGAAGAATCCGGAACACTCAAAGCTGGAAACACTCCCGAATATGGCAAGACACTGAGCACAACGGCGGACTTGTTGTGACATTGTCATGGTGCCACAACCTATGGAAAATACAATAAACAATGGAAGCGAGAGGGCGAAATAAACGGTGCTCATGGGAATTTAGAGTCACAACAAGTCCGCCGTTGTGCTCAGTGTCTTGCCATATTCGGGAGTGTTTCCAGCTTTGAGTGTTCCGGATTCTTCCCACTCCAGCCAGGGAGCCGATGGCGTCTTACCACAGCTAACTTTGACATTAGCTCTTTCATGCTCCTGGCCAAAGTCATACCTTGACCACCTTGCTTTCACTTCTAGCCGACTATACTACTACTACTAATAATAATAATGTGTCAGTTGTACGCCGTAACGGCACTTCGCTGCCGCGCAACCACCATCAGTCGCGCGCGGGCTGAGTATACCGCGAGGACGCCCACCCCTACGCGGATTCGAACCGGTGACCTTATGGTTGCAAAGCAAACGTGCAGACCACTCGGCCAGCGGCCGACCTTCTAGCCGACTTCTGTGCGTTCGAAGAGGATACGGCGAGGTAAGCGATGAGTAGGCTTGCAAAGAACATATTTAAGTCACTGAAGTCTGTGCAACTAAATTATGCTATTCAGTGGCCGGCAAAGTCCGTCTGATCAGAAAATCTTCTGTCGAACATCATTATTAGTGTGATGCTGCCATCGTACACCAGCAATCCTCTGAAGGCAGCGGTGATCAAAAACAGACAGACTCTCAACATCCTTTGCGCGAACAGGCCGTCTCGCAGCCATAGAGCGGAACCGCTCTCACTGTGGCTACGTGAACTCGGTCCGTCAGACATAGTCTCAAATCACTTCGACTCCAGAGATGGCGAAAATTGACAAAAGTAACCCGCAAAGAGATGTCGTCCCTTTAAACCATTAGCGCTGAGGCAGCTTCCGTAGTACACGGATTTGTCCACCACTTCCAAAAAATTGACCCCAAAGGGTAAGTATATTAGCAGCGCCTAGCCAGTCTTGCAAGAAAGCCTTGCACTTCTCGAGTGCGAAGCTCATTCCAAACTGGGAAACAGACACCTCCAACCTACACTGGACATCTTGAGCGGCCTGTGAGGAATCGCAGATTACGGCGATGTCGTCTGCATACTCCAAATCCCGAAGTCGGTCTCCTGGAAGCAGCTCGACGCCGCTGGGTTCGCAGTTCTCAAGGATTTCGTCTATAGCCAAATTGAACAAGACGAGGGATGCTGGACAACACTGTCTCACGCCATTGGTAATACTAAAAGGGGGCGAAACTTCACCGTACTCGACCCGAAGTTTGTGAGTAGATGGCTCGAAGTAAGGACATATTCCTCGGACACTCCCCTTCTCAGTAGACAACTCCAGAGAGCAGCTCTGTCGACTGAGCCAAACGCGGCTCGTATGTCTAAGAACACAGTGATCGTTGGCTGGCCAGATGTTTGACGACTCTCGAGTACTTGGCGGAGTGTAAAGATGTGATCGATGCAACTCCGACCTGAGCGGAACCCAGCTTGCTCTTCATGTATGTTCTATTCGCGTACCAGATTGATCTTCCTTAAAAGCAGACATGCGAGTACCTTGAAGTACCACGTGCTACGTATGCCTGGTCACCGCTTACCTCGGAGGGGCTTGTTTAGTCTGCCAGGTGTAGGGTAACGCAAAGTTCGAGGTGGAGGGAAGTTGACTTGGCAGCGGGAAATGAAATCATTGACGACCAAACTAAGTGTCGTTAGTCCGTCTCGCCTTCTAGCAAGGAATCCAAGTTACTCGCCTTGTGCTTGGCTCGAAACTTTACAGGACATGGCTCGCAGACGACAGTAGTGGCGTGTGTGCTGTTGCCTCTTAGTCGGATTGATTGTTTAAAGTGTGTTTGCTGTTGAGTTATCTGCGAACTAATGGCTGGTTATGACGCAGGACAGTGAAAGCCGCAAGGAAGCTGTCTCCCCGACGCTACCTTCTCTTTACACCACAGCTATCTGGTAGTGATGGCATGTTGTTGTTAAGGTGAAAACGCCTTGACCCTGAATGTTTGCTTAGGGAATTAAGGTTTTCAGGTAAGCCCCCCTTCTCTCCTTCTTTTATTCTTCATTCCGCAGACCGTTATGGATGAGTGGCAGCGAAGCATCGGTTCAAATGGCCGATGCACTGCTGTTGTTGATGGTGCCGATATAATCTTGTGGTATGCTTGTGCACTCCATGTGAGATGATGCAGTCGCGCACATCCACATGCCTTGCAGTATCACATGGGAAGTTCGAGTCAGGATCTCGCATGAGAAGACATTGCATTGGACCATATCGCATCACAAATCGCACGCGATCATGTATCTTTAGCACAATATTTCAGATGCCGCAGCAGTGCGGAGTTGGCAAAAAAACGTGTTTAAACATTAGGTCAAGGACTGTTGGCAACATTGTCGGAAAGTAATAGACAATACAAGCTAGTGGTGGATAGCTGTAAAAGGGATCGCTACATGATGACAGTTCAAACCTAAATAAATGCAATAAAGGTGGGTTAGTCACAGAGTAAATTGAGATTTTGTTAGTAGAGGATTCTTGGTGTAATTTATCAAGGGTGCTTCGCAGTGCTGTGCAAGTCTTTTGATATTCGCCTTTACAGCTACCGCATGCATAGTTGCCATAAGGGAACCCGTAGCTCTACGGACCAACCTTGTCCTCCGTAAAGTTAGTAACTTGAATGATAGTAAAAGATGAGCCGCGAATCATGACGGCCTACAGTCATCAGCCGTGGCCAAGCGACATAAGCCGCAGGAATTATGCGTTAGGTTCCCGGTGTAGCCGGGGAATGCGGACCACTAACGAGTACAAAAAGGATAAAATGCGCGTGGGAGCCTCTCTGATTTAGAAGCTACTGCGAAGAACCATAATACACTTCGTTCCAACAGTTTGCTGAGAGGTGACTAAGGTTAAACAAAACGACGAATCATATATACTTCTGGTTTAATACTGATAATAATAAACCAATATCATCAAATGAAGATAGGGCTGGTGGGTGAGAGAGAGAACAACTCTATACAAGGGACGAAATGCAACTGGAATCTGTACAAATCGTGAAAAACCACACAACTCAAAGAAAGTGGGGAAACAAAGACCGATAAAAGGAAGACTACGGAGACGAGTGGCAACAACGATAGGGGGTAACCTTTGGTGTATGGAGAGCAGGTCTGGAAAGAAGTAGGCGCGCTGGAGGTTGATGATGGAATGCGCCTGCAGCCATGCTGAGGGGCAACGCGAAGATGACAAAAGTACACGTAGGAATGGAGAACCAAAGCGGCTGTGACAGTGAATCGAGCGATAGGAGCAAGTGGGTGGAAAAACAGTCGAGGAGGAGGAAAGCGTAGAAATGAGAAAACGCAAGTCAAGAAATTAACAAGTGTGAAAAAATAAGCGCACACAGAAAGAGGATATTACAAAAGAACTGCAATCATTGAGGAACAGCACTAGCATAAATAATAAATGCACATGATCCGGGGAATTCAGCTGTCGCACGTAGGCAAAAAATGATGGAATAAATGTGGGGAGTTGTGGTGAAAGAGACCGGGTTTCGTCGTAATTAGGTGCGGGCGGTCGTTAAATGTCCTAAAGGTAATAAAATCGTCGAATCAGACAAGCTGTCCAAGAGAAATGAGAAGACATGATCGAGTGCGGAGTCAAAGATAAACAAAGTCGTCGAGCTTTTTCGGATAGAAGAAAAATGCTTGGAGAGAGTGGGGTAAGTGAAACGAATGTTACCCATTTCAAGTAAACTAGGAATAAAAAATAAAGATACGTAAAGAATGACCGGTATGTTTTGCACAGTATCCCGTGTGTGTGTGTGTATGTACAGATGAAAACGGACATTTACAATCTGTGAACGTGTCAAGTGGTCGGGCGATCTGAAATACGTAGTAACGTCTAAAGAATCTTATGAGGTAGACAGTTGTGTGAAAAGTATTAGCAACAAACAGAGATGAACTGGTCCTCATTCCACTTTGGGTCGTAAACCGACAGAGTCCGCCGTGGAAGATGGACGTTGCTGCTGTGATTGTGTGTCGCTTCCAGAAGAGGTGAGGGTGAGAGCGGCAGCAGCAGCCAAGTACTGTTGCTGTTGTTGTTGCTGGTGATGGTGCTGGACTTGCATGTAGGACTGTTGAGGATGATGCGCCGCCGGATGCTGAGAATACTGAGAAGGGACCATGCTAGGCATAAACTGTGCTGCGGCCGAGGGAAACAGGCCAATAGCAGCAGCTGCCGCGGAATGTGCTGGGGCGATGAGGCTCTGGTGGTGTTGCTGAAGCATCGCTGTGTGGTGCTGCATCAACTGTTGCTGTTGTTGTTGCAACTGCTGTTGCTGCTGCTGCAACTGCTGGTGCAACTGCATCACTTGCTGTTGGTGCTGCAACACCTGGTGGGAAGTCGCATGCTGCGGTTGAGACTGACTTTGGTAAAACTGAAATCCAGACCTCACCGAAGCAGCCTGCTGCGGTTGCTGTGGGTCTTGTTTGATTGGATGTTGCAGTTCCTGTTTGATGGTTTGATTCTGGTTGAACAATTGCTGATTCTGCTGCTGCGGACGCGGTTGCAAGAATGCTGAGGCCGCGGGTGACGTGTTAACAGCAGCAGCCGTTTGGTAAGTTTGCTGCTGTTGGTTCTGGTGGAGCTGACGCCCGAGAGCGGCGGCGGCCATAACTGCAGCAATATTTCCGGTGGCAGATGCTGGACCTATGGAATCATTCGCCACCGAGCTAGACCGAGATACTGAGACGGCCGGATAAGTGTGATTGCTTGTCACCGTGCCGGATGGAAGTTGGCCGATCGCAGACGACGCTGTCGTACACTGTTCCACCGAAGACATGGTGGAAGGGCCAATGAATGGAGTGAGAGTAGATGCAGTCGAATTTGTGGTCCCGACGAAAAAAGGCATCATCTGCGTTGCCTGATAGGTATTCTGGTTAACAGCGGCTTGCTCGTGTTGTTGCTGTTGTTGATAAAAAGGAACATGCACAGCCAAAGTCGACGATGGGGCCATATGCCGCGGTTGTTGGGCAGCGAAAAGAGCAGGATGATACTGAGCGATTCCGGCAAGTGAAGCAAAGGTGGAATGATGCTGAGGTGGAAAATGAAGGTGTTGACCAGAGGGAATAGGAAAAGGAAAAGATGCGGTTAGACAGGGGGCGGATCCAGTGGAAGAGCTACCCACGCCTTCTACTTTTTGTGACGTATCTCCAACGGAAACACTAGTAAGCGAGTTGGAAGGTTGAAAACCAAGAGGGTTGACGAACGTTGCTGCGGCAGATCCAGCGATGGAAGCTAAACCGAATGCAGTGGCGGGCGAAAACACATTGGGTGCATTGGAACCAACAGCAGCTGCGATGGTGGATAAGGTCGACAAAGCAGTAGAGTCGGAACAGCTGAATGTGGTGCTGTTCAGAATGAAAGATTTGTCGACCGCGGAAGTCCCAGAGGAAGCAACAGCTCCAATGGGATTGGATTTGGATTTTCTACCACTGCCGCCGGTGATTGCCCGAGGACGAGGACCATACAGATGCGTTCGTTCGTGTAATCGACGTTTGTCGGATCGCGCGAAACACTTACCACAATGAACGCACTCGTAAGGTTTAATCTTTGTGTGGATGCGTTCATGGATTTTCAGTTTGTCTGATCGAGTGAACCGCTTGGGGCAAAAAGTGCAAGCATATGGCCGGACGCCGGTGTGAGTGCGATGGTGAATCTTCAATTTGTCTGATCGTGTGAATCGTTGCTTGCATGTGGCACACTCGAAAGGTTTCACATTCAGATGAGAGATCTCGTGTAGACGCATTTTGTCGGCACGCAAAAACGCCTTGCCACAGACGGAACATTTGTGTGGTTTTATGTCGGAATGAGTAAGCTTATGATTTTTCAACGATTTCATGCCAGAATATCGTTTCAAACACTGATCACACTGATACGGCTTAGAAGCCGTGATGTCTGCATGGGGTGGAGGTGGAGGGTCCCCTAGAGATGGATCGATTTTTAGCAAAATCTCTTCAGGCAGAGTGGGTAGGGGTGAAAGTACGCTGGGCAATGGTGATACAGATGTCTCGATCAAGGAATTACAGTTGATGGAGTTTAGCATGGGCATCGCAGCGATGGGTGCATCACCATTGACTGTTAGAGTGTTGCAAGACGTAACGGATGCGGTTGACGGGATTGTCGGGGCTAAAAAAGAGCTGGCGCTGGATGTCATTGTTGGCGTTGCTACCTTAGACCTTGACTTGCGTTTACCTCGCTCAGAGGTGCCCGTTCCGGAAGAACGTTGTCTGTTTCCAGAAGATGGTGGTTTCAACAAAGTCTGATGCACCTGGAGCTGCATCGAGGCTTGTTGTGCAGCGACAGATGCTTGACTTACTGGTACCACAAAACCCATTGAGGACACTGGATGTGCTTGAGCCGAACCACCGGGAGAGTGCATTTGAATGGATGCCGGATGCTGAAGTCGGAATAAGTGTTGCTGTTGTAACTGTAGCTGGCGTTGCTGCTGAAGTTGTTGATGCTGTTGCAGTTGTAGCTGTTGTAAATGTTGCTGGTGTTGTAGTTCATGGGAAGGAGTATGGTTCTGGGGCAAGGATATCGCGGACTGTAACGTCACTGGAAGTGTGGGAGGCGTCAAACCAACGGCGGTAATCATGGGGCTGGGGACAACGGATCCGCGAACACTAGGCGACTGTGGTTGCTGCTGCTGATGGTGGTGGTGGTGGTGGAATTGAAAAGCAGCAGTATCCGTTTGGTGGCTGTTGGAGGAAGACGGTGTAGAGGTTGGTCCATTGCTCGATGTAGGCACACCAGATAGATGAGTCCAGGGACCGAAGGAAGAGTTTTGGACCATGACTGCGTAACGAATAAAAAGCAAAAGCGTTATGAATGGAGTACTTCCTTATAAAAATGATCAACCGTAACAGTTTACATGAAAGCAAAAATAATTCGTAACAACGATTTGATTCATTCATTGAGGGGGAATAACGAGCGCTCAGTAAAACTTATCCGCTTGTATGTACCGGATCAAGGTGCCTAAACACGCAGTGACGAAGTGAAAGAAGTCCAATAAGGAGTATCTATTGGTTAATATCAGGCCAGCTTCATCATCATCACCACCACCACCATCATCATCAATCATCATCATCACCATCACCATCAATAATAATAATAATAATCAAAAGTACATCAGCAATCACAGCTGAAGGTGCCTACACCTTGTCAACAACATAACACCACAAACAGCCGGCTATTGGTGAGACAGTTTCCTTTCGGCGTTCACTGCCCCGCGGCATAATCATCCAGTACCCCGCGATTAACTCAATACCGAATAATATTTAAACAAGTAGTCTGACTAGGAGACAACAGCAGACGCTTCTAATGTCGATTGCGAGCCATATCCTGTAAAGTCTCACGCCGAGCACAAGGCGAGTCACATGGACTCCAGTCTGGAAGGCGAGACGGACCGACGACACCAAGTTTGGTCGTCAGTGACTTCACCTCTCGTTGCCAAGTCAACTTCTGTCCACCTCAAGTTATGCACCATCCTACAGCCAGCAGACAGAACAAGGTTCTGCTCGGTAAGAGGTGACCGGGCATATGTGTCTAAGCCAACACAAGTTATTCAGTGCTTTCTGTTGTTCTAAGAAACTAGCTTGGCTATCACTGCCTGGCACTCGCCTACGCACATCACCGTTGCAGATGCGCTGATGTCATCCGACACTAGTAATGCTTCGCAGACATTGGTGATAAGATTTGCAGGTGCCACAGATCCTCAGATTGAAGGGGCCAAGTCTCACTCTCATAAAGTGGTACGGCCCTCACTGTGGCCGTGTAAAAACGGCCTTTCAAACGGAGAGAAATCTTTTTCTGCCGCCACAGTTGTCGCAGATTCAAAAAGGCACTACTGGCTTTTGCAACGCGTAAAACGACTTCAACCGTTATGCGCCCATCATTGTTGATGCAGCTAGCAAGGTAGGTGAATTGAGCAGCTACTTCGAGTTCCTCACTATCTAGGGTCAATAGATCATCAAGTGGCAGAAGTCCTGCAGCAACACTTTGCATTTTGGAGGTGCGAAACGCATACCGAATAATGGGACCACTCTTGTGAGGTTATGCAGGGTTGATTGCGCCGCCCCAACATCGTCAAACAACGAGACAATATCGTCCGCATAATCGAGATCAACTAGCATCTCACCAGGTAGCACCACAATACCTGTTTTGTGAAGCACCGTAAGGGAACACTCCAAGATGGAGTCCACGAGGAAGCTGAACAAAAAGGAGGAAATGGGACAACCCTGACGAACACCACTTGTTGTCGGAAAGGCATCCGATAAATCACCGTAAACCATGACGCGGATTATGGTAAATGTCCACCTAGTTCATGGGAACACCTTTCCGCTCCATGATTTCGAACACGTCCTGCGGTGCGTGTGGCGCTGCTCTAACATCTGTCGCAGAATGAATATGTGGTCTATGCAGTCACGTCCTGGGCAGAAAACTACCTGCTTTTCCCTAAGCCGGGATTCTCGTTCCGCAATGAGGCAATGAACGAGAAATGAAGGAAGTAATTTTGTCCCAATTCGGTTAGCACAGTCGATGCGATTGCCATTCTTGTACACTGCTACTGTGATTTATCCACTGCAGTTAGTTTGGACCGTCTCTGCCTTCCATACGTATTCGAACACGGAGCTCAATGCTTTGCACAAGACCTCTTCACCATCCTTAAATAATGTGGATGCGAGCAAATGCGGGCCAGCAACGGGAAAACGTTTAAGAGTTGCGATTGCACTTTGGAGCTTAGTCTCTGACGTAGTCTCTAAACTAACTGGTCATGGCTAGGCAAGCAACACATGAGTAAGAAAAGATTCGGAAACAAAGGGCCAACTGAAGTGATTTTGAAAGTGTTCTCCCCAACGAGCCATACGACGCCGCTTATTGTGAATTAGGGCACCTGCGCTTTCACTGATTGTTCCACTGACACCTGGTTTCCTGGGACCAGTGGTGCGGATCAGCTGGAAGAGCTTGCGATAATTGCGTACCGCTCCCGCCTCCACTTCTTGAGCCCGACTGGTGCAGCAGGTTTCCTTGTCAGCACGCAGGCTCCGCTTTAATTCGCGCTTAAAAGTCCGCCTGGTAACAATGTGCTCAGAGCCAACTGGGAGTTCTCTTCTTGATTCCAACAGGTGCACCGATCTCTTGGATATCCAGTGAAAGATGGGGTGACGATGGATAGTGCCGCAAGCGGAGGCTCCTCGATGGCGCATGGCGATCAAAATCATATTCCATTGAAGCTTGGTGTCATCAGATAAGCGGTTGAAATTTCGGTACGCAGTATATCTTGGTACGATTGTCTAAACGAGGGCTGAGATAACTTCTCCGTTGCCAATCCAGTGAGGCGCCTGGTACGCCTCCCGGGAAAGGTCATATAAAAAGGACAGCGTACCAAGGCATGATCAGAGTCGACGTAAGTACTCCAGAACCAGCGCCGATCCATGATGAGACCATGTCAACTGTAACTTATGACAACGTGATCAAGTTGGGTCCATCGCGGGTCAACTACAGGATGCCAAGTGGCACTCCGGTGCCCCACTGTGTCCAAAAGCGGTACTGATGCTACTCACAAAGCAGTAATAGGCGCCCGCCGTCCACCCGTTTGGATTTAAGTCCATAATTACCACCTAGCTGAGCATCTGAAAAGTTCAGACAACCTACTTGTGTATTAATATCACTTGCAAAAGCAATGATATGTGAACTAGTAACATTGCGTAGTAGCGTGCTCAGTTCATGGTAGAAAGCGTCCAAAGCAGCATCAGCGCTGCAATCGGTAAGGGCATAAGCGGAAATCATAAACAAACAGCATCAATGCTGCTACGTGAATAAATCTTAGTTGATGTCCTCAAACGGACAGCACACAAACGGTTGTTCACCGGAATCCAGTCAACCAACAATGACACAGCCTTCGAGCTGAGTACCATACCCACTTCAGCTTGACCAGAGGCTACCGCATCAGTGTCTCCGGATGTATGCAACCAATTGCAAGAGGACAAACTGGGTGCAGTTAATTCATCAACCCCGTCAGGTTCATTGATCCAAGTTTCAGACACACGACTAACCTAAAGATCCAGCGTGTCTAACGTGTGTGCGAGTGTAGTCTGTTGACCGATTTGTCTTAGAGTGTGAACGTTGAAAGTCACCAGGAAAACGGGACAGCGTAGCCTTATATGGAGCTGTTGGGGATTAGTGTTCAATGGGTGGCGCGGGAACAGCTACAGATGGTATGACTCCAGTGACATTGCGGTTGCTGTCAATTAAACTGGGAATTATAGAAGGCTAATAATGGGGACTGGGAGGGGAGTAAGAGAAACAGTTGGAAAGGAAAGAAGAGAGTCGCCAGCAGTAGTGTGATTTGGTTTATCCGCCCTGCTGTATGCAGCAGATAAGGCGACCCTTGATAAGCTGTGCGACGACCGATGCAGGATATGTTTGAAGCTTGAAGTAGTAGCCGAGCTAGCTGCTAGTTTATAGGTATATCTGTCTCAATCTATTGCTGATACCCACACTTCTGAATAAACTTAAGGCTATCGTTTCGGTTCGCATCCAAACGCTAACTAACCACTGACAGTCGTATTGGTTACTTATAATTCTACGTACGATTTTCTAAAACTAGAGAAATATGGCTGTTCTTCTTTCATTCAATCCAAACTCATGCACGTATGTAGTGTTATGGTTCATGAGGGTTATTATTTCTTCAACCAGTCTGTGGTAGTCCATACACAAGTGTGAATAAATGCCCGTTCGCAACACTGCAGTACTATAACTCGAACCAAGGACCTTTGGTATGTCAACTGATATCTCACGTTGGATGACTAAGTGGAAGCAATTTAGAAACACATAAGCACCACACTTCAGCCTGACAGACTGATGGCATTTTCACTCGCGTAACACCATTAACTGCTGACTCGATGTCTAAATGGACTCGGCTAAAGTACAAATCCCGCTAACATCTGTTCGTGTCTCGATACACTCCCACTTGACAGATGGATCTTAGTACATTTCTTCTCGTGTGAAACCGTCAATTATTAGGGGTTGCAATATGAGGTCAATGTATCCCATCTCAAGTGTCTCTATACGCCCCCTTGTACTGCGGCCGCTTTCAGGTAAACGCACTGAGATTCAGACAAGTCATCAAGGTTGATTCCCGGAGCAACGGCAATACGTTGTGACATTCGAATCGAAATGCTTGCGCATAGATAGTATTCTAGACACTGATGAATTGATCAACATATGCTAGCGGTCCGGATGAATGTCCAGGGGAAATAAATCGTAACGCATGACGGACTGCCTAGTGGTTCTACCTCCCAGTTGATTCTCGCTCACCTCGGACAACAGACGATTATAACCGGCTCTGGTTTTACCTTACGACACGGATAGCCTGCA